TCACAAGACAAGCCCTCACATGGAATCTTCAAGGCCAAAGGAGGAGAGGAAAACCAAAGAACACATTACGCCGAGAAATGGAAATAGACATGAAAACAATGAACAAGAATTGGATGGAACTAGAAAAGAAGGCCCAGGACAGAGTGGGTTGGAGAATGCTGGTCGGTGGCCTATGCTCCATTGGGAGTAACAGGCGTAAGTAAGTAAGTAAGTATTATTGATGAGGGTACTGAAAATTACTTGGAAACTGTAAAAAATCTGCAACAATTCATTAACATTTTGACATTGTTTATTCTCGTTTCATCTCACTTTAAATGTTTCTTCATTACACTTCGATACTGATGATGTCTTTACTTTCATTTATATCATATTATATTAAATTTATATGTGAATGAGAACGATACGTGAGTAAACCATATTGAATCTCATTCACTAAATTACGCTTTGTTACATATTCACATTTAAATAAGTACAGGTTGAAATCATGAGTCAGTTGAAGCTAGACCACCATTGAAAACCTGGAAGCACTGGACGGCCGTTTCGTCTTGGTATGGGACTCCTCAGCAGTGCGCATCCAGTGGAGTTCAACCGGTCTGTTGTGAGATAACAACTCACTGAAGACAATGGTGTACGGTGGCGCAACTTCGTGGATTGGTTGAAGTTAGACATTAACACCGTTGGATGCCGGCTCAGTGGTCTAGTGGTTAAGTGCTCGCGCGCGGAGCCAGTAGGTCCTGGTTTCGAGCCCCGCGTGGTGCGGGATCGTGGATGCGCACTGCTGATGAGTCCTACACTAGGACGAAACGGCCGTCCATTGCTCCCAGGTTTTCAATGGTGGTCTAGCTTCAAATGACTCATGATTTCAACCTGTGAAATTTCTAAAACTCTCCACAAAACCCATTCTGTTAAATAAGTACATTCAATTTTCATACAGTTTTATTAGATGTAGTTGCAAGTACAGCATTATTACAATGTTTAAATAAACATTTTTTCCAGCAAATAATTTGACGACACAAAATCATGAAACTGTTCTATAAGAAATGGGAATCGTTACTGTTTTATTGTAAAACATCTCGATAACAATTGTACCTTCATACAAATGTAAAAAGTCGATACATCTTTTTTTCTGAAAATATTTCTAAATTTATCCCAGATTATTTTTATTCTTTCTGCCAAAATGACTGAATTGAACATTAAGATTTGTATACTATTTTTTGCTAACCAAAATAGTCAAAGTAGACGATCATCACGTTTTCAATATGTTGTCTGTAACTTAAATAAACTACACGTGGTTGAAAAGAAAAGAAAAATTATTGAATATGAGTAATTGTGAAATGTAGAAGGACAGGTAAATACAATACATTGTGACTGGATTTGTAATTCATCAAATCCATATGTTCCTCAATTTGTAAATAAAACATAAACCATTCGAAAAAAATATCTCTATATCATTTCATCATAATTTTTCTCTCATAAAACTGTCCAGTAATTAATAAAGTCGGTGCTAAAATTGTCAGTCTTTAAATAAATCAAAAAAATCTTTACGTGTTTTTATGTTAACTGACTTTTAAAGTTCTAGTGTCTGTGATCATATATAGACATTTAAACAAGCTATTCTCATAACATCAATAGAGTAAAACAAATCGGTTAACAAACGTGATCTGAATTGAGATTCTTGAGGTGATTTTTCTTATACGCCACAATTTTATTACTAGAAACTTACAGGTGATGATAAGCAATCCAGTATAAAGGCCTGGACATAAGTTTCATATTGGTGAACAATTATCTGCATGATGTTTCAATAACCGATGCTCTGAGTAAGTACTTTTGTATTCCAAACCACTTACCTAAAAGCATTATGCTCACCATGATACATAGATATATGTGGTCTTTGTGTTCTATTGACGAGTATCAGGCATGAATGAATCGTCTTTCTAATGGTGCTTAGCTCTTAATCATTCTTAAGTTAATGTCGAATTACCATGAAAATCACTTTAAGATAAATGAAATTCGTTTCTAGTTCATAACACCAAACTGATTAATAAATTATATTCAGTTATAGATGATTGCACCCATTGCTAGAATGAAATGTCACACATTGATTAGAAGTCGCTTAGAACATTTGAGATTTTAAGAAAGGTTTGGAAACGTGACGGATATTTCAATACGACTACATAGTGCTATTTTAACTTCATTTTTATTCAGAATATATTAGTGAAATCATCTAAGCAGATAATAAATGAGTCATTGTTATGATTACTGTTATCATGAATCTTTAATGTCTATTATATCATTGTGTAACATAATTCACGTTATTCCTCAGCTAACTCTGTTGAACGATAGTTCATTAAAGTTTACTTATAATTCATATGACCTTTGAAGATCGTACCACATGAAATTCATGGTATTATCGTGTTAATTATACAAAAATAAAATTGAATAACAAACATTGTAAAATGTAAAGTAATATATTTATAATGTTCTAATTATTTCAAAACGTATACAGTGAGACTAACACTTTAGTTATCTTAACATGAAATCAATCTTTTCATTGGTTAGCTCAACTAGACTATGTGAAAGTACTAAGTTTAACTACTTGAAAGAGTTTATAATCTACGCTTTTAAAATGTTCCCTTAACTATTTAGTGAGTAGTGGATAACTATTTCATTTTAATATTTGAGTGTACAGTAGTACGCATCCATGATCCCACGAATTGTCTGGATTTATAAGTTAAATTAGTTGATATTATTTAACTTACCATTATATTTATTCTTAATTATAAAAAAGGTCATGATAAATTTACTAGGTATGATGAAGTGTTTGTCCTGAAATTATTGTATCATGCCTATTATAAATAACAACAAATTAAAAATGAATTTATTCTAATCGAGTATTTACACTAAGTCTTATGTACAATTCCCCCCCCCCACACACACACTGATCAGTTCGGCATTTTTATCACTCTTAAAATCCTTGTTACATTTTCGCACTATATTTCATATGTGTTTATTCAGATTTATAGTTAAATCGTATGAAAGTACATTAAATAAAAATTATTTAATATCCATCAATGAATAAGATTTCTAATTACAATGATAAACATTTCTTTATGTGGTATAGTAACTTTTAATGCATTTATAGGACTAGTGAATTGTCACTGAGCCCTAGCCTAATCATCCGGCAGTTGGGTCACTGAATGCCGAACAGCTCATTGGTCCCCGTTAGGATCAAGGACCAACGTGCATCAGTTAGTCGTATGCCATTGGCTGACCCACGCGGTAGTGGTCCCACTATCTTCTCTGTACTCATTCTTACTAATATATTTCCGTAATAGCGTCCTTTGTGTTATACGGTCTTCAGAGCATCCATAGTACCTTGATAAGACGAAGGGGCAATACATGTTAGATCCTGACCGCTAGGTGTGATTTTGATGTTAGCTGTTGGTTACATCACTCATGCCTAACTGGTGTAGGCCCCCAGAGTTGATGATCTACACATTCAATTGAAATGTCAATATTCTTGATTAATTGCCTGTCAATATTCAAAAAAAGGTACTAACATTTTGATAATATCTGAATACATTATTTTAAAACCACAGTTATTTGATAATTAAATTTACTTAAAACACTTTAGCAGAGTTCAGTTATTTTTTTAGTCATTATTAAGTTAATATGTTGTTTGAAAATATTCTTACATCAACCGTGAAATTATTTGGAACTGGGGTACATTTAACAGATATCTTTCTCTTAATTTATGACTTTTCGAAAATGTCCAATAACAATAACTCGTTGACTTATATTCAAGAACTTCAAGTTTCATGTCATTTAATCTCTGATTTGAAATTTAATTCTTTGAATTTTTCATGTAGGCATCTATATCGATTGTCATTTAATAATGAGGATAAGTTCTATTCTGTATAGTTCAGTGTTTGAGTTTTGGTAAAGCAACAATTTGAGTTTTTTTTCTCTTGTTCGCCTATGTGTACATGTGTGACAAAAATCATCTTCGGTTGAATGAAATCTCAAAAAAACTTTATGACTACATAATTAGTTTTATTTGGTACTAATTATTGCCAAAGTATATTAAGTGAACAAATTATATTCAAAAATTCTGATATTTCAACCGGTGAAAGGTAGACAAATAATCATGAAATTTTCACGCTTAGCAAAATGCTTCTGATAATTTTTTTAAGTTAAAATCATTAAAAAAATGGTACCTTTACACACTAAGTAGTACCTTGGTAATAATGTTATCAAGTCTAATCATTATCGCTTATCGAGTTCCATCAATATAGTTGTAGTGTGTGTGCTCAGTTAAATAACTTGATGCTATAGTGATCATCGTTTGGTATTAGATGGCTTGAGTTATTTAAAAAGAAGTCTTGAACTTGAGTTGCCTGCTAGTCAACACCTGTCTATGCTACATTAGTGACGTTGATAATTCTCGTGAGACTACGATCCAAATTGCAGCTTTACTTCCCATGCCGATTTCATGTAATTCTATCGCTAATGAGACTATTAATGAAGATATCTAATGCTCGCCAGTTTCTTACTCAGTTTCGACTAATATTTAATTCTGAAGAAGACACAGAGTCTAGTAATCCTTGCTAATTGTCATTATGAATTAAGTGACTAATAAATCCAGGACTAAACTGAAGTCACTTAAGGTTTGACAGTGAAAGCTATTATAATTATTAAAATATTCTAAAAGATAAACTTGGAATTTCATTTTAGTCTACAGAATTTTTGAGGTGGTGGGAGGGGTATTTTCAACCTCGGCTACTGATAGAAAAAAAGTCTCACCAAAAAATACAAACAAAAATATTGATCTGTGACCAATAAAATAAACGAACTTTTTTACCATAAATTAATTTACTCCATTTCGATTGGTCAGAGGTTAACATATTTCCTGACCCGGTGGCGTAAGTTCTATCTTTTGATTTAGATTATTAAATATAATTATGACACTCAGTAATTTACTTTCGTCTTGTAAGTTCTAGATGTCAGTGTATTCAGAAGTAAATTCTCCAGCAAGACAATTATTCTCATGTTGCAATGACTGCTCTATGAATAAAGCACTTCTGACTAGAATGAGACAAGAAGAAGCTGAGAATTTAATAGCATTATCAACTAAAAAACTACTAGAAATTTATGACTTCGACAGTGAATATTTGACATCAAAAATTTTCTCAAGAAATTCAACACAATCCAGTAACGTACTAACATATCCATCTGAATATTCCTCGACGTCAGCATTTATTGCTAAACAGTATGATTACGAAAAAAGTCGACCGAAAGATACTTGGCATTGGAAGTATGTTGACACAACTAGTCAATATATACCGTCGTTTTATCGCAACAAAATACATCATTCAAATCGTCATATATCAGTAATTCAGATTGAAAAAATTGACCGTTTAAAAACACCACATAAACGAATAAAGTATGTGCAACCCGGTCATTCGATAACTGATGGCAATCTTAGCCTACAATTCGAACTAAAGAATAATAAGATAGAGAAGAAGAGTGTACTAAACCCAATTAACTCATGGAATATACCAGTGAGAAAGTGGTTTTATATACTTGACGTTCGACAAATAAAGAACGCATCCTCCACTAATCCACCTCCTAAACATAATTTGTTAATGCAAATAAATGAAATCACACTGACTAAAAGTACTTTACTAAATCAAATCCCTTTAAACAGGACAAGAAATTTATTAAATAATTCTGTCAGTAAATGTGGGAAGACCAAATCCTATTTAACACCCGAAATCTGTCGAAAAGAATTCATAAAACTAAGCAAATCCAGTTCGTTGAGCAGAAAATATCGTTAAATGACAATATTAAGTAAGTTTATACCATAGAACTGATAGTCGACTATTAAAAAGATTTCTTTTAGTCAAAATAGATCATTCAACAGCTATCATCAGAGAATGACACAAGTTCCTTTTAGTTTAAAATGGTTTTAAATTAATATCTAAAATAATTTTATGTATTGACCATATTTAAGTTACAATCTAAGTAAGTTTTCCTTAGAGACTAGTAAAACCGAAATTGAAACTTGTCAGTAAGTAGTAAATTGGTTGACTCCAGTTACATAAAACTGTTTGATATATAAGTCTCTTCTATGATCAGGAATCAGCTGAAGATGAATCTTAAGTGATAACAACATCTCGAAGAAATTGGTCTTTTTTTCTATAGATAATATGGCAGAATACTGAACTAAAATGTTTCTATTTTTCTTTTACAGAGATTCTACCAAAATGGCATGAATAAAAGGAAAAATCCTATTCACAATAAAAATGACCTTTTTTTTCTTGGAATATGCCTAAGATACTAAAACTAGGTGAGTTTATTTGAGTTAAACTTTATTGTTTACAGTGTCTTTTATGCTCACAGTAATCTTGTAAACCAATATTTCTATCTATTAAATCAGAATTATTACCAAAAGTTATGGTCTTAATAAATAGGCTACTAGAATATCAAAAAGATTCAAAAGTATTTACCATTAATATGAAAAAGTAGAGCTAATTAATTAAAGTGGAGGTATTGACAACGCGTTTTAAAAATCGAATTATAGAATTCCAAATAATCCTGAAATGTCCAAACCACAGTAAACTTTTATTCCGTAGTGAATATTGTGTCCAGCTGTTAAATTAATGAAAAATAAGTGATGATTAGTTTTTATACAGAATACTGTTCAATTTTGTACGGTGTATAATTAGATGTGGAAGGTTTCTTGAACTTGCTAGTATACAATATATACACATTCAAGACATTACGTAAAGTCCTTCATATGACTGTTAAATTTCATCACCGAGTAACCACTTTTTACAAGAAGTTCAGTGTTATTTGATTTAGAACACTGTGAAATGTCAATGATTTGAAACAAGTGAAATATTAATCTAACTACTGATACTACTTATAAGTAACAACAATATAGCTACTTTACATTCAAGACTGATTACCCTGTAAATAAACAAACTTGAGACACTGATTATATAAAAAATATCCGTTTTTCACCCCCTGTTGTCCAAGAACATGTGAGAATCATATCAGAAATTAGATATACACCCATCGCATTTTTTGAGAATTGGAAGATAAATGATGATGTTTTTGGCATTTACTTATTGCAAGCCTGTTCATTCATGTAAATTTACAATATATACAATTTTGATCTTTGTCATTAGTTCAAAAAGCGCTAAGTTTGAATTATTTTTAAATTTCACACACTATGAAAAGTAAAAGATCGGTAAGCGAACCTTTTCAGAGATTTAAGATAATAAGATAGTTGTTATGACGATAAAATTTATTCAGTTATTTTCTTACAGCATATTCATCAGCCGTATAGAATGACCGAAATGTGGGTTCGTTGAACATTAACACCGTTTGATGCCGGCTCAGTGGTCTAGAGGTTAAAGAAGCCGAAGGTCATGGTTTCGATTCTCGCATGCGGGATCGTGCATACGCACTGTTAAGGAGTCCCATACAAGGACGAAACGGCCGTCCAGTGCTTCCAGTTTTTCATTAGTGATCTAGCTAACATCAACTCATAAATTTGAATATAATTGCCTATCAGTTCTCAGATATAAGCTGAAGTCCAATGAAAATCACCTATTATCTAACTATATTCTAAACTTCTTATAAACTGTTGGCCTTATTTTTAAAAATCTATTTCCTTGAATAGATAAGTGATTTATCACTACCTAGTTCAATTACCAATAGGTTGAACAGTCTACAAATTTATTTCGTAAAAATTTCATTGAAACAAAGTTTTTTTAAAGTTTATGTTATACGTAAATGGTAAAATGTTTTAATATCAAATTTCTCATTCTTTATATTTTCTATTTAGATGGATTGAAGTAAACAATTACCGTTGGTTGTGAAGTATTATTGTTATTATTCAAATGTTCAATGTAAATATAAAGTCCTTCAAAATCCATTAGAAACTTTATTAATTATAGTACTATTAGTATTAGCGAACTGATTATCTAAATCATCTAGTCATTTAACTTCTTTTCTTCACTATTCACTTTAATATACAATTTCAATATTGAAACATCAAATGGTGTAAACAGAATAAACGTTAAACGTATTAATTTATCCTTATAATTATTTGTATGTACTATGAGTAGAAAATGTTGACAAATATGTAAATTGTGTGCTATTAACCGATATATGATTATTATTAGATTATTTTATTGTACATTTACATTCATTCAGTCATCTTTTATTTTGTAATAAACAATATAATTTAATAACAATATAATTGGTATTGAGGAGTCCCATACTAGGACGGAATGGCCGTTCAGTTCTTCTAGGTTTTCCACTGTGGTCTAGCTTCAATTGAATCATGATTTCAACTATTGAAATTACTAAAATCTCCACAAAACCCATTCTGATAGTAATAATCTGCCCACTAGTGACT